CACAATACAGTAATGGCTTGTTGAACACCATTTTGCCTTGGATCAGTACTTATAACTAGTGTATAGCCCATCAAAAATAACAGGGCAAGTACTACCACCCCCCATCCCATAGTATACCCGAACCTCACATTTTATAGCTAACTTAAGTAAATTCCTTTGTAAGCCAATCTAAACTAAGATCATTCATTAAATTGAACTCTTGGCATATTCACAGAATAATTATTAGTAAAAATCAGTCAGTTTAACAACTTCTAATATATGGAAAAGCCAGTGTGTTTTGGTAATATTACATTCAAACAAAGGCTTTTATGTCACGTTGCTTAGCAACAAAAGTATAAGTTAATATTGTTAGTCTATATACTGAAAGTATAAAATGAAATGTATAGACAATAAAACTGGAAAAATATTTGTTGGTTTCTTAACTTAGTCTCTGTTGATTGAAGGGTTGTTTTTTTTATTAAAAACATTGATGATATGACAAAAATAGCTTAATTCAGAAACAATTTAAGTTTGAAATTGATCGATATTTTTTACTTTCATGATAAATTTTACGCACTTGGTTCTAGGCTAATTGATCCCACACTATGTTTTTACTTTAGGCTTATTATAGGTTTAAGGTTTCACAGACCCCCCTGTTACTAAAATCGTAATGGGCAGACAGTAATTGAACTATTCTATATGGGTAAGTGCATTTTGGCTTTTATAACTCCTCCTATTTTGAGAATTTAAGCATGATATGACATACACTGACTTTTATACAGGTTAATTTCAATTTTTAGTGATTTGCTTTCCAACTCGTAAAAAAGCAATGGACAAAAGTAAAGCAGGGCCATCTGAAATATTTTTCAATCTTTGAAATAAAGAGAAGTAGTTGATAAAGTGCTGAAGTGTTTTGTGATTTTCTGTACAGTGAGAATGACTATTTCCCTAGTGAAAGTGAAGCAGCCGAAGATTTGAATACAAAGGACATTTAAAAATGTAACAAATATATCATGATACACTTTGAACAACCGTACTAGTGATACAAGTGCTGTAACATTTGTTTATTCACACTATAATCACATAAATCAATCAAAATGTGATTGATTTACTTCTGAAGTTTTATTACACTTTAAGTTATGAAAATTTAAGATTGGCACTTGGGTATATTCTAATTTTACTTGCAGCAACAGTGTGTGTGTGTGTTAATAATCCTTATACTTAGTGAACTGAAATATTTATACTGATTTTTAAAATATACACATGGTTCATGAGTCACTTCTTAATTAAAATTCTGAAGTTATCAAAATATACGTGCATTAGGTAGATAATGTAAGTCAATCTAAAATAAATTATCTTTAAGAACTTGTGAAGTGGTAAACGTTGGGAAATGACACTATTATAGTATTTTTCTTTACAAAAAAAAAATGCATAGATATCTATTATTCATAACTGACTAATAAATATTTATGGCAAAAGTATAAAAAAATTTAAATACCTTTAAACTGTAAAAGGAATAATCATATGTACATGGCTGTTTTTAGAAGGAGAAACAAGGCTGAGCATTATTAGTTTGAATCCAACTTACAGTTCTTAGCATCAACAAAACATTCTGAATTCTTTATTCTGCACTTGTATGGTTTCTACATTACTATCTCTCAGAAAAGTCTTACAAATAAGATCAATTGTAATTTCATGTTATTGTACTAATTAAAATTCTAATGGCTACTAGAGGTATCTGCAGGTTTTTTCCTCATTAGTCTCTCGTGCTCCTTCTCACCCCAGTCATAAATCATGTAGCCCAGGGCAAAAGCTGTTTAAATACAGAAAATCACAAATTATTGCTCCAACATACGTCCACAAAATTAGATTATTAGAAAAATGTCTTCTAAAGTGTAAGAAGCTATATTTTAAAAATACATCATAAACAATTACAATTATCCAGAATAATGTAAAATAAACTTATAAGCACGTGTTTATCCATAAATACTCAATTTTAAACATTTCCTGAGAAAGGATATAAACTTCTTTTTTTTGTAAAAAGTACTAATATAGAACTATTTTCATTTAAACATTCAAATAATAAGAAATTTTTATCATTCCTAGAGAGCTAGGACTAGGAATGAAAAAATACATTTAAGAATGCCATTTACTCATTAATGGAGATAATTTAACATTCTCAAGGGTATGCATAATATACTTTAAGTCATTTAAAATAAGTCACTATTATCATTATAAATTTTCAAATATAATTTGAAAGTAGAAAAAAATCATATATTTCAGTCTAGAAATATCAAGAACAAAACATACATTTATAATTGCTGTCTATAACACGTTGGCTGCCACATAATAAATTAAGTATAAATAAAATTAAATATTTGAAAGGTGCCGAGGAGCAGCCACAGTGTCCCGAACTCATATGCCACAACAGAAATATGGTTTTGAAACATAACTATCTGTGACTCACTGGTGTGTCATGTGGTCCATAATTAAAAGTCAGTTGTGACCCACCAGTGGGGCACATGGCAGTCAACGTGATAAAGTTTTGTTAACTGTGACTAAGAATAGTTGGACAGTATATAGTGTTTTATTTGCCCTGAGAGCCCCAAATATGTATAATACCACACTCGTATAGTTATTCTTCTTCACTATGATTTTGAAGATTAGAGTTTCTTTTTTATTAAACTACCAGCAATAATAATATTTCTCCAATATTTTGCTTCTTTACTGAACTTTTCAATAGAAGTTATCAAATGACAAAAATACAAGTTCATGAATTGCTCAGTTTGCACTCGGCTGTACTGTTTATAGCAGTTATTGAAAATTAAATTTTTGGCATATTTTGTTTGAAAATTATTCTTCCAACTCCCTCTTTTCACATTTCAGAATATCGTACTATCTCTAAAACCTGTTTAGTCATTCAAATATACACATCTTGGTAGTTTGGTTTGTTTTGAATTTTGCACAAACCAAATATGAGAGCTATCTGTGCTAGCCATCCCTAATTTAGCAGTGATGGATAAGAGGGAAGGCAGCAAGTAAACACCACCCACTGCCAACTCTTTGACTACTTTTTTACCAACAAAGAGTGGGACTGACTGTCACATTCTAACACCCCCCAAGGCTGAAAGTGCAAGCATGTTTAGTGACGGGCATTCGAACCTGCAATAGCTTGGTAGTAAACACATTTATTCAAGAAAAGTAAACCACAATGACAATTATTTTTAAATGTGATGTGTTTAATGGTAGGGACTAATGAATTAATTTGAAGAGGACAAAGAATACTGACAATCATAACTACAAATTCGTTATCTTTACTAGGAATGATGGGCAAAACAAACAGCACTTTTATGAAACAAGTTACTTCCAATGTTAAAAACAAAAAAAGATTTATGCACCTAACACAAAATTTTATGAATTTTTGTTTTCAATATTTAGTTCAAAAAAACGTGAAGCCACAAATGTCTACATACACTTGGTAGAAACATCTGTCAAAGGCCACCTCTACATTTGCCTGTAGACAGTATGTGAATATTATTTTTGGAAAATACAGAAGAAAAAATCACGAACAAAGACAAATTTTTATTATAAGCTATACTTACGGGGCACGATAACAAAAACTTGACTGCGGATCCTTCTGAATAAATTGGGTAAACCGTGGGTTAACAATCCTGCAAAGGCTCTTTGTTCAAATGGTGACAACCTGTAATAAATGATGCCTCGAATCTTGGCAAGCTCTCCAAACCTTAGACCCATATTTCTTTTACAGATTCAAGTCTATTTAAAAGAAGAAAATAGATTCTTAATCACGTAGAGTATTAGTTCTGGTTATTATATGATATTTGGGTCAAAGTTGTAATCTTATATTTTATAATTAACTTGAAGGAAGCTCAATGTATAGCTTATGTTTTGGGAAAGACACTAATTTAAAAACCACTATTAAAGTTGCAACACTAATACCCAATTAAACAACCAGACATTTCACAAAAACAATTTATTGTGATATTTTTCTTATTCTGTGACTTAAAAAATCATTAATATTCAAATGCAGACACTGTTAAACATCCGTGAGAACTAAACAAAAAAAAACACATTAAATGAACATATATATATATATATAAGCATTATTAGTCAAATGCTTAAATTCAAAATGTTCCATAAAACAAGTTTTTAATTTTGAGATTAATAAGTTTCAATTTCCTAATACAAATATTGTAAATAATCTATACTACAATATTTGTTTTTCAAAGCTTATAGGATACAACTTGTTCAACATCACAAGATTTAACTATTATTGGCAATTGCAAACTATTTATATTAATAACATGTGCATATAACCATGGTCTTAGCAATGGATTATTATAAACACTGCTTGTAGCACATTCCTTTTTATTGCACTACTTTATTTTAAATATATGATTTATAATTTACAATTTACTGAACTTAATTTGATATTAATTTCATATGCAGATGTTTTTGCTGTATTACTATCTATAGCTAAAGTTAAGAGGTCAGTGCTGATTAATGCACTTTCTTCTGTTATTAACAATTGTTATCGTGAATATAATAAAAAATTTTCGTATGCTGGTGCCATGTTTTTATAGGGATAGACTATTAGTAACACAACATAAAAGAACACAAAATCTCTCTTGAGCGACAATAATTAACCCTAGATACTACACTTACACAGCATAATAAGGACTTTTTAAATTTATTATAAGGACTTAGAACAAATCTAAATCTCCTAAGTTGGCTGAACTTCATATTATTGATAATATAAAAGGTACCCAACTGATGCATTTTAATCATTATGCATTCTTTTGTGAATTATTTTATGACATAATCTATTCCACGTTATTTTATTATGTAAAAGTAACTAGTTTTTATTTTTTAGTTCTTATCTACACAGTTAGCTTGCCCCAGTCAGAAGTTACTGATATGATAGATAAACAATATTTCATAAAGAAAAATCACTATGAAATTTTATTTTTTTTCAAACATTATATACAAGTTTACTCTTCCAAGTTTGAGGTGTAGGGGTAATACCATAAATCTGTGGTGCACCAGTAAATTTCCACTCATTTTAGTTCCAGTCCATGTCAATCTTATTATCAAAGAAAAGATGTTGAATTATTGGAAAAGGTTCAAAGAGCTGCTAAGATGATTTTGGGTTATAGGAGTTATCTTATAGGGATAGATTAAGGTATCCTTTTCTTGACAAAAGAGTAAGAGGTGGTCTTATTGAAGTTTACAAAATTATCCTGGCAATTAATAAGACAAAGACCTCTGATTTCTTTGTGCTATATCCTGAAGAGGTCAAAAGTTCAAGATTTTGAAAAAAAAAAAAGGATAGATCATGATCCAGCTTTATTTTTCTAAGAGGGTTACTTACTGAATGAGCTTAAAAGTTTGTTTGATTGTTGAATTTTGTATAAAACTACTTGAGGGCTATCTGCACTAGCTATCCCTAATTTTAAAGTGATAAACTAGAAGGAAGACATCTGGTCAAAACCATCCACCACCAACTGTTGGGCTCCTTTTTCATCAATGAATAGTGGGATAGACCATCATTTTATAATGCCCTCAAGGCTGAACCTGTGACCCCCCATATTTCAAGTCAGTTCCCAATCAACACACCATGCCAGCCGGAGTTTAAAAAGGGAAGCAATAATTTCCTGAAAAATAAAGGGTGGGTTTAAGTTTTTACTTTTTCTCAAGGATGGCTGGGCAAGGAGAGCATTGAGGTTAAAGAACTATTTGGTCACTTGTTATCCATTTAGTTTCTTATAAAAGTACATCATGTAAAATAATCTCAAACTGATTTTGTGTCCCTTTTCTTTAATGAGCTCCAAGCAACCCTAATCACAACTCAACATATAAAGAAAAAAGGTCAAACAAAACATTTTTACTAATAGGATCTTTGAAAATTGCAGAAAACAATACATTACCATCTCAAGAAAGTCTTCATCCTCATGTTAATATATAAATATTTATCCATTACCTTCCCTGAAGTTAAAAATATTTGTAATGATAAAGCTGTTTCTACTAGTAGTAGTTGCTAAACTAATTTACATATACATATTTTATCAGTGAAAATAGGGTAACTAGTACTACTACTACTACTAGTAATAATTTTAGTAACAGTGTTTAAATTTAAGCCTCTTAATTTTTTTTAGTAATATTGTTAAAACATTCCAAAATTTTAATTTTCTTAAAATTAAAATCGATTATTTCATTTGAAAGTAAATGTTTTAAAATTTTGTTGTAGTACTAAAGAAAACTAAATCTAAAACTGGGTAAAACTAAAGCCAAGAATTTAAAGAAAGTGCAAATCGAAACTAAAAACGTAAAAATATGACAAGTCTGGTATCACATTTTTGTGCAGCAGATATTTTGAAACATGGAATAATTATGCTGCTAATGTTAATGACTTCTAGTTCTATTATTATTAACACTAACAGTGAACAGTACTCAGTAGCCCTATACTGTACACTAAAGAATGGTGGAATTAGGCCTAAGGTTACCCGACTATTTGCAGTTAATAAATTATGAAACGAATAATTTGATCAGTATATAACACCAAAGCTTAAGTCTTTATTAATCAATATTACTAGTTAAGCTTATTTGTTATTTAAGAGCAGCTCATAAAAGCAGTATTGAGTGTAGTTAAAACAAACTTCAATCTATAGTTTAATTTAATAATAATATTAACTGAAAAGTACTCGATGTTCTGACCTTCCTAATCCAACTTTCAGCCTTGCTTGAATGACCTTTAAACTTAATAACACTAAAGGCGCTGCGATTGCTTTTAATAGGTAAATTATAATAATTGCAAAAAAATTTATAAAATAAGGTTTTAGAAGCAGTTTAAAAATATATCTTTCATAAAACGTCAGTTTGTTTTGTTGAAAGAATATGATCGTACACTATATATATATTTCGGTTTAACTACATCTTTAGCACTTTTGGTCTTCCAAGTAATTTACATTTTACTATTTTGTATCGGCGATTTATTGTCAGGATAAATGTTCGCACATTGTTTATGCATTTTTTTGAGATCTAACGAGAGTTCTCTTTCACATACTTTAATCTGTTTATGAATATCTTACTATAATAGACGTAGCGTATGTCAGTATCTATGTATGTAACCAAAACTCCTGCGCCATCTATTGAATGATATCATCAACAAAAATCCATAAATAAATTCACAGTTTGGGTATTAAAGATTCAGACAATTAGAAAAATAACTATGGTATGTGCAACAATCATTTCCTTAAAATAGAACACAATTTAAAATAAAAGTACTCTCCTCACAACAAGAACAGGACTTTCACTAGAACTGCAGGTGAGTGTTTCATTATATTTTTATTGATGTAATTTTTAAATGTAGTACTGAGAAGCTGGAGTTCTTTAAAAAATATGTTTTCAATAAATGGTAACACTTTTAACATATAAAAACATGACACTTTATATCAGTAAAACTTATGAAAATTTTGAGCTCTGTACATTGAATCATTCTAATGCAATGAATCGCATATGACTTAATAACACAATTTAAACACTTTTTCCGTGTAGTACTTCCTTTTTTTAGAAAATTTTCATTTTTTTCTAATTTTTTTTTCAATGAGGTGTGAATACTACGATTAGTAATTACTAGCATAAACAGCCGCCCGTAGAGCGACGTTTCTGCTAGTTGTGATAATACTGTACTCACCCTTATTACATATTTTGAAGACCAGATAACCGAGGTTGTGTGCGAGTCAGTATTTCGATTTTAAACACCTAATATTTAGAAATAATTTAAATGGTAATATAAAAACAATTCTTTATAAAACGTTTAGATGCCATAAGTGAAAACATTTGAACGAAATACAAAGCTATAAGAAGCAAATTTCCTTTTTGTCTAAAGAATTTCAATGAATGTCGAACATCACATTTGCTTTGAAAACTCCGTAATCACTCAGCAACATCTGTTAAAATGTACAAATTCTTCTATCTTTCATGGATCATCAATTACAAAAAGGAAATACAAAAAATACAAAAAATTAGAATAGCCAATTTAGGAGTATACGAATGTTTTTTATACTGTCTCTTTTGCATTAATATTACATTCGGAATTGAATATTATGCACTTTACATCTACTTTCACTTTTTATTTATACTTATAAATCTAGGAAATGATTAGAATTCGCCATTTTTCGTTAAATTATAACGAACTTATATATAATAATATCCAAGGAAACAAATATAGCAGTTAAATCTCAGAAGAGTTGGCATTCATTTTGTCTCCATGTTCCTGTAAAGTGGTCTTGAGAGTAATCACGAATTCTTCAGCAAGCTAACTTTCTGCCCACAAATTCTTCTCTGGAATTGTTCAATTGGTCATTCTCTCATCGACATACTTCCAAAGACGATCACGATGGATGTCATTTGACATGGACCACCTACCTTTCTGGATTTTGTAACCATATCATTGATTGTTTTCAGTACAAATATTGCACTTTTCAACACTTCCCAACTGTTTTTTTTAGTAAATCCTTCCTTGCGACGAAAATCATTGAACCATAAAATATCACCTTGATCAAATCTGGTCATATCAGCATTAACATCATAGCGACTTTTCATTTTATCACAAACTGATTTAAGTCTTTCCTAGATAGAGTCATGTATGCCATCTTTTTTTTTACAGATTCACGAGAACCCTTCCAACAACCAATCCATCAGGACATGGTAGGAAATTTGATTCCACTATGCCCCATTCACTCGATGTACATTTATTGTTAATAACTCTTGGTATGAAATTTTAATTCTTGTGGCACAATAGTCACTTTTCCTGCTGTCATTGGAAGTTCAACTCCTGGTGTAGTAATCGTTGTGTAGTACATAGAGATTTCCTGGTCATATACTGTGAAGCTAGTTTGAAGCTAACGCAACTTTGCATCCATGTCTCTACATAAAGTTTGTTCCCAATTTGTACTCTTCCTTGATGTTAATTACCCACACACCATAAAGTATGATAATTCTTCTACACTATGGGAAACTTTCAACTTTCCTTTTGCTGGAACTTTATATCCACCTGCTGTTTGCATCAGTCTCTATTCTTTCATCATCTATGGGCGTAATGTAGCTGTAAAACAAATATTAATCAGTTTTCCATCAATAAACCCATGGAGCGGGATTAACTTGGAACTATCCATTCGATATTTGTTCTGTAGGATTCCTTGATTGATCTGGATAGACTATATCTGGAAGTAATATCCAAAATCCACCAGCCCTTTCTGTTTTCAAAGTAAAATGCTAGCTTGTTGTTATCCTTCAATGACCTTGGGGTCACTTTTATCCACTTCTTTCGGAACCTATGGTCACAGTTGTGGTTGTGTTCGACCCCTTTATCTTTAGATTTATAGAAACGTAATGAAATGAGCATTTACTTTTCACTCACTTTTTATCTCAAACTCGCCAGACAATTACAGAATATTTCAATCTACTTTTACAGAGATATGACATATCATACAATTAGAACAATAATCACTTGTTGATGGTCTATATTTTTCTGTATGTTTATCATTACTTAACGTAATTCTTAACCAAGGATAGGAGTTTATGATAATTAGAGGAACCTGTACTGGGAAAGATGGAATGTAAATTATTATAAGTCTTATTGCGATGTACCAAACATGAATACCACTGGTAATTCCTTTTTAAATGTATATTGGTACCAGTTGTCTTCATACAATTTGGTATAACATGTATCGCACCGGTAATAGAATTAATGACTTTAATTTTTACTTGTTGTTATTTTCTCTGTGCAAAGCTACACAGTAGGCTATCTGCACTCTGTCCAGTGCGGGGAATCGAACCCTGATATTTTGTTTTATAAGTTCATAAACTTACCCTTCATCCACGTAGGGTGGGACTTTTTGTTTGTATAGACACGTTTACTGCAACACTAATAATTCCATAATTCGCAACAGAAGCTACTTCGATAAAAAATATTATTTTACATGATTTATAAGAAAATAAACCTAAACGATAGATTACTGAAATAACCACAATAGTATATGAATTCTTTAAAGCTTAAAGCTTGCAAAGATAACTTACTCATTTGTTATATGACCTTCAAAGATAACCTACACATGTGTTGCATGACCTTCATAGATAACTTACACATTTGCTTTATGACATTAGGAATTCACACACAAAAATGTTTGTGCACTTGAGTTATTGAGTTTACGACTTATGTCTGATTTTTGATAAAGAGGCGTACTGATGTTACATTCAAATGAAACTAGCATTAAAATGAGATTAATTAAAATCATTGCTCATATGCATAATTCATTTAGCTCTTGTTGTGGGTCCTTGTTTGTGTATACATCGTAAGAAAAATGTTAAGAAAATTTAACAGTGACCATTCTGTAGGAGGCTTACAATTAAACCTGACACGAAAATATAGTAAGCAACAATCGCTTACCAGTCAAGTTTCGACCAACCTGAGTTTAGCTTCTTGTTGTTTTTGTTTTAGCGCAATGTTACACATGGAATTATCTGCGCTGTGTCCAACGCGGGGATACAACATCGAATTTTAGCGTTATAACCTTTCTAACCTAACGCTGAGTCACCAGAAGACTGAATGTTCCTTATATGATGTTCGATTTAAAAGGGCATGTATAAAAACTTCGACAAATAGGCAAATTATTGTTCAAACTAAAACAGTAAAGTCACACGTGGATCTCATTTAGTTGTTTTTTTTTCAATTGAAATTTTGTCGCTTTACAAATATAACAGCATGAATTTTACAATTTAATTTAATTTTTCTGAAATAATTTATGTTTTATTCTTATAATTGTACGCCAATTGAATGCTGAAACTGATATAATAAATGTATTTTACGCAATCAATTATAGGTGGCAGCACACTATTGGCTAAGCATATGTTACGTCGCGATTATATCAGAATCAAAATCAGGGTGATAAAAAGTGGTTAACATAGAAAATATCACGAGAAACACATTTGCAAAAAGCAAATTCTTTCACAATAACGTCACTAAAACTTTCAGTCATTAAAAAAGAATAAACGGCTGTAATGGCAATAGAATATATTATATTTACGAAAATGTTGGAGCATGACGTCAGTCGACTGATCACACAGGTATGGAAATCACATAGTGAATTTCCTACAGAGGAAAAATATTTTACTATTAATGTGTGATTTACAAATTACCCATCAAATCGATAAAACATTTTCTTGCTACTTTAGTTAAAACAAAAAGATTATCGAAAACCATTGTGAATTTGTTTGTTTGTTGAATTTCACACAAAGCTATACGAGGTCTATAATCTCGGCAAATCGTCGCTAATTTAGAAGTGATAGACTAGAAGAAGGAAGTCAGTTAATCAACACCACCCACAGCCAACTTTTGGGCTATTCTTTACCAACGAATATTGAGACTAATCGTTACATTATAACGTCTCCACAGCTGAAAGGGCGAACATGTTCAGTAACGGGATTCGATCCCGCGACGTGCATACTGCGAGTCGAGTGCTCTAGCAACCAAGTCATGTCAAACTCTAAAATTTGCGAGCCACTTCTTTAATCATAATATCAGAGAATTCTGCGTTTTATATGTTTCTGAAATATTGCGTTGTGAAGATCGTCCACTGTAGCTATGTTACGAGAAGATCGTCCACTGTAGCTATGTTACGACTCAATGTCACAGATACTTTATTAATGATGTAACATGCCACGTTACTCGTCGAGATGTCTTGAGTTTAAAAATTATTTTATTCATACGAATATCTAACTTCAAAGGGAGA